TACGCTCACGTTGGGGAAAATGAATTTAGTTGAATGCCAATTAAGATAGATATTTATTGCTCATTCAGGTAGTGGGGAAAAAAAAAAAAAAAAAAAAAAAAAAAAAAGAAAGGTTAAACATTCAAAGAACATTGAACTGATATTTTCCAGGCTCCACATCACTCCTCACTGTCCCCACCCCGAGCAGCACAGGGTGTGAGGGTTGTGATCAGTCCATAGCAGCTCCTTTCTGATGGTCCTTCCTCCTTACACTTTCTGCCTGCTCCAGCATAGTCTTCCCCACAGGCTGCAGTTCCCTCAGGAATATCCATCTGCTCCAGTGCAGGTCCTCCATGGGCTGCAGTGTGGACATCTACTCCACCACGGAGTATCTCTTCTTTCTCCTCTTTTGCCTCCTCCTCCTCTCACCTTGGTGTTCCCTGTGCTGTTTCTCACTCCACTTGTTCCCTCCTCCTCTCTCCCCCCAGCCTTTTCTGCCCTTTCTTAAATACGTTTTCATGGAGGCACCACCGTCTTGGCTGACAGGCCCAGCTGTGCCCTGTGGTGGGTCCACTGGAAACAGCTGGAACCGGCTGTGTCTGGCACGGGGCAAGCCCTGCTCTCCCCTGACAGAGGCCCCTGCAACCCCCGCCACCAGCACCTGGGCACCAACACCCAAAACAACTCCGTACTTTCTGTTTTCTTTGAGTAGATATTTGAATTATTTGGTCGACAGCCACGCCATCCTCTTTTGGATTAGGCAGGCAGAGTGCTCCAGAGAATCGGTCTGGTCTTAAACAACAAGGCTGTTACTGCAGACAATTGACAGATATTTTAGCTATAAGTCAAGATGGTGGGTGACTTAAAGGATCAGAGTGGTATTTTGAAAACCAATGGCTTGGAAGGGATTTATGGATCAGAAGCTGGAGGAGGGTTAAGAGGGGTCAGTGAAGCGTAGAGTCAAGAGGGGATAGGACAAGGGGGAGACAAAAGTCTGTAGGAAATCAAGGCTTTCTGCTCCTGCTGCCCCTGTGTTGGGAAATGTGAGCCATGAAGCCCATCTTTGGCAAAGGCAGCAACAGCAGCTGCTCAGCCTAACCCAGGCCTATCCCCATCTTCACTGATGCCAGAGGCAGAATATGCAGGACGTATTTCTGTGTATTACTGAGACTCATGACATAGTATGGTATTGCTTGACAAGTTCATCATAATTTCATCCTGACGTTCAGTGTTGATAAATTCAGTAAATATCAGACTGAGCAATGCCATCACTGATACCATATATGGTGGAACATGAAAAAGATGCAGCATTTCCATAACAAATTTTGCTGCCTCCATTAGGAGGCTTTTACACAATTTAAGCTACATATTTGCCTCTAAGGAAAGTGTATTTGTTCGTTGCATCCCAAAATAGCTCAGTTTTCAACTGAGTTACGAATAAATATTTTACATTCGTGCATAGACATCATTTAAAATGTAGCCTGAAAAGGAAAAACATTGTAAAGCCATGACTATCTGAAAGTAATCACAGTGGAATAATATATATATATCTTCAGCTCAGGCTGAACAACCATCATAGGTTTTGTGATACTAGAAGCATGGCAGAAATCTCTAATCTGAAACAACAAGCACTATTCTGTGTCTGTGTAAACATACAATATCCAAAGAACATCTGATAAACATCAGTAGAGGTTTGATCGTGACTCATTAGAGCTTGTTCCTCAAATCTGCTAAGGCACAAATCTTCTTGTTTGTCAAATAGAATTGATCACTTTTCAATTACCTTTTGAAATATGATTTTAACCGTAATTCCAAAGTATGGTATGACTAGCTACCACAGAAAATTTCTCGGGGAAAAACAGACAGAAAACAAACTAATCCTTGAGGTGCATGAGGACTCTCTTGCAGTTATTTCTAGATCTAGGTAATCGAGATAATACTGGGTGATCATCACTAATAAAAATGGATGCTTTTCTGTCAGATGAGTGGAGTTACCCTTATTTCATTAGCTAGTGATTTGGCTTGTGCGTGTTTACAGCCTTTATCCAATTTGCCAACAAAGGTTTGTACCTTCTGATATTAGTTATGGTATCAAAGAAAACACAGCCCAGACCGAGTCTGATGTGTCTTGCAAGTGGCTGACTGAGTATGAAGTAATTTTCAAAATGTGAGGCCTAATGGTTTTTGACTAGGCTTATGTACAGCACAAAATTAATCATTCATTATGGATAAAAAAAGTAATTTAAAAGTTCTCTCTTTTGTTCACTTTGATATTGAAAATCTGTTTCTGCAAAGAAATATTAGATTCTGAGCTGCACAATTTGGTATTCTGTATTTAAAGTGCATAATAATAAGCTCATGTCATGTGATTTTGGTTTCTGTTCTTTCTCTAACCAGCTGAGAATTTTAAAAAAGGATAATAATGAATCACAAATAGAAAATGTTTTTTTTTACATCAAAATTCCCTTCTATGCACACATGAATCTTTGGGCTGTTCTTCCATCTATTTATACATGTAACAGTAAGTAATAAAGGATAGCAAAAGAGCATAATCAACAGTCCAAAATGAATACTAGAGAATAGCCTATGTGGACTACCTCTGAATTTCCTGGAAGAGAAAATATAACACTTTTTTTCCTTTTTTTTTTTTTCTTTCTAATACATTTTAAATTTACACTTTCCTGTTACACTTTTCTGTGGCACATCTCATTGTTTGTGTGTGAAGAGAACTTCAGTAGATTATATTCTTGAGTCCTATGGGGAAGGGAAAGATATACCTGCTTCCATTTTCAAATATTTTCTTTTTCTACCTGTGCCTGGAGGAAGACTCTGAATTTAGAAACTGAAGGCACTGCTTTCAACTTGAAACTAGCAGAGCAGAATTGCATTTGCTGAGCTTAAGGGAGAAAGTCAAAACAAAACCTGCATCAGTTGTAGGAAAAAAAATATTCTTGATATGTTTGGTAACTGCGGGAATGACTTTACATACTTGACAAATAAGTAGGATGCAGAAATGTCACTAAAAAGGGACTCACCAGGGTCTACTGACTAATCCTTAAATTCTTTAAATTATTTTCTTATTTTATCTGATATTATGTCTACCTGGAATAAAAAACATTAGGCCCAAATTCAGTGAAACCATTAAGTACATACTTAAGATAACCGTGAGCTTAAATGTTCTTGGCATGTTCTTTACATCTGCAAGACTGATCCAAAGACTGCTGGGATTTGATTTAAGTTACAATAGCTCAGAGTAAGCAGATATGACACATTAATTCTACTGAGTATTGAAACCTGCAGAGCTGTAGTCCTGGCTCTTCCACATATTTCTGAACTGCAAAGGGAAATTATATAAATACAAGAGGGTTCAATACACTTTGTATATTTCTATTAAAGGTGCAAACCTTATTATACTAGTTATCAAAATTATTTGATCTCAGTTTTTCCTGGGGAAGCAAAAGGAATAAAAGGCATCAGCTGACAGGGAATGGGGTTCTCAGTTTACCACCATACTTCAGAGGTGATAATAATTAAATGCTGCCAGAGAATCCATAGTTCCATGGAAATACCTCAATCATCAGGGCCTTCAAATAAAAACTGGTTACTTTATGAGCAGTCCACTGTTACTACTGTTTGGCAGACAGAGTTATAGACTATATATAGAAATGGCCATGTTTTATCAGACCTCAGATTAGAGCTTCCAGCCTTAATTTCAATACATTTTACAATACTTTCTGTAGAGATAATCAGGAAAGAAAATAATAATTTTGTATTAAATTATATAACAGTGTCTAGAAAGTGTATCTTTAAAATGCATCTAGATGAAGCAGTATTATCAGGTTGAATGTGTTGAGCTGTTTTCAAACCCATCTTCAGGTATCATTCCTTTTAGTAGTGTGCCTTGAATATTTACTTGAAACATGTCCAAGTCCATAGAGAAGAACAAAAGCAACCAACTTCATTTTATCCTTTTTCTCTTTTCTCATGTTTCATGCCATCCACCTCTCCAAGATCACTTTGGTTGCTAAAAACAGGATTGGTGGACACCCTGCTGCATGGTTTATGGAAGGGCATATGTCACCAGTAAAAACACAGAGCTGGAGTTTCATGAACTCAAGTCAAGTGCATACAGAAAATAAACTTTATCCCTTTTTTTTCTTACTTGTTGCAGCATCTTCTCGTAACTGCCTGTTTTGCAAATATAATTTTCAAGTTGACAGTATCTTTCTAATTTGGAATTCAGGGGATTTCTAGTATTTAGTTTTGAGCCTGTTGGTTCATTCCTCTCACATTACTAAGATTAATGTGAAAACATGAGTACAGATGAAATAGTTTCTTCAGCTGTGGAAATGTCAGAGAAGATTACGTCATTATAACAAAACAGAAAGCAAAATGAGAACTGTTACTTATGATTATTACACTGATTTAATGCTAAACTTTGATCTAAAGATAGTTTCTGACCTGTTCAGAAAATTCCATACAACAGGTTTTGCCAAGTAAACTTTTTCCCTCTACAGCACTAAATCCTGGTGAATTTGTCATCTATACAGCTTTTCTGATTGAAACAGATCCTTGTGCCTGTTGAAGCGAATGATAAAATTTCACTTCACTGGTGCAGGACAAAACATAAACTTTTGAGGTGAAAAGTTGTGTGTGGTTTAAAGTTAAGAGCAAAAAGCTGCTATGTATTTTTCTTACTTGGACATCAGTCTTTTGAAGCTGCTCTGGGATTTATAGACATGCTTTTGCTGTTTCTTTTAAGTGTGTTGACCAGTCTTAATACTTCTATCAATCAACCTCAAATGATTGAACTAGAAACAATACATTAACTTGATAAGGACACCTGTTCAAGTCAAGTAGTTCTAGTAACATCCTGTCCACTTTGTATTAATAGTTGCTTTTATCTCCTGTGCACATATTTATGTCAATATTTATTAAATCAGTTTTGCAGATTATGACGGTGTTTGCTTGTTTGCCATCTTGTCTTGATAACTGCATATTGATTTCTTCTTTATATTTAGGATATGATGCTTCAGCTGTTTCGGGGACTGGATTTTCTGCATTCACATCGTGTGGTACATCGGGACCTGAAACCCCAAAATATCCTTGTAACAAGCAATGGGCAGATAAAGTTAGCTGACTTTGGCCTTGCACGAATCTACAGTTTTCAAATGGCTCTTACCTCAGTGGTAAGTTTCTGGAGGCTTTTTTTGTCGTTGTTGTTGTTTTTATAATGCAGCACTGTCCTTTACTCTCTGTGTTCCTGGATTTTTATCCCGTACTATAATGCTGCTTCTAAAACCATCTCTGCAGTTCAAGTTACTTATGTGTCCGAAAGCAATTGTTTTCCAGCCATAATTGAAGTTGTTGTGGTTACTTTGTACAAGTAATCAATTACTGATTACTGGTTCTAAATTAAATCATAACTGATTACTGAAGGATAGGTGTGTGCTAGTTTTCTGAAACTCCGTCAGTCTAGCTTCTTCTGTGATACTGACTTCTTTTGCACATTAAGCCAGACAGGTATGGTGAAAGTTTCTGATGTACCTATTTTAAGATAAAACTTCTGCTGATCCCCAGGTATCTTGCCTGAAAAAATACACAAATACTTGTGAAAATGCCACACTGCCATGCCTCTGATTTTCCATCTCTCTGAATATGGGTTTAATGCTTGCTCCCATATGTCACTGAATGATTCTAAATAGGGCTGTGCTGGAGGCAGCTCAAGTGGACCTCACAGCCAGAATCACAGCTATTTCTTAAGCCAAGTGTTAAAGAGCACCTCCAGTATCTCTAGGCCCCCTGCTACTGTTGCCCCTTTCCCAGCAGCTCTCCTGGTTGTCCTTGGCTCGGACATGGGATCACCCCCACAAGGTCTGGCCCTCTCCTGCATTAATGCTGGTAGAGACCCCCTGCCAGCTCCTCACTTTTTGACCCCGTTTCCACACTTGCTGGCCCTGCCCTCAGAATCAGCTGCTGTTAGCTTGGCACAGCATCTCTGTGTGTTGAAGAGTGACCATGCTGCATGCATGTTGGGTGTCATTTGGTTTTGTTACCTGCTCATGATTTTTGTTGTTTCCATTTTCTATTCTGAGTATCACTTAAAGGGAGAACTGCTGAGAAAAGAAACCGGAAGGAGTCCACTTTGCATTTTACATAGTATTGTAGAAATTAGCCTGGCTCACGTTAATAAAAAGCAATCCACTGTTATTATTAGTTACTGTTGTGTGATGTAACTGTGACATCCTGGGTTCCAGCTTCAGTGTGAATGAAGGCAGGAAGCAACATCTTGCTAAGCATAGGAAAGTATCCTCATGCCATAAAGCGTAGGTAAACTCGTGTTTTGGGGCTGGTTTTTTTCACTGCCTGTAGGATGTAGCCTAATCCAAAGCTGAAAGAATCCCTCTACTGAGATCAGTGAAGATTGATCATGTTGTAACTCAAAACAGAGCTTTGAAGAAAAGGAGAGAAAAGATGTTCCTGAACTGCTGTAATTTTTCATTTCCTAGTTATCAATCAGTAACAGCTTCAGTATTTCTATTGATGCATAAAATTGTTTAAGTTGAAATTGCAGTGTTGTAAGGCTTCCTGAATGGCGTTTTTTATAAGTTCTTCATAAAATTAGAAACAAATATCTACAGAACTGAGCAGGAGTTTGTCCATGATCACGTAGCCTGCATAGGAAGGAAGGTCAAAAGACCCAGAAATAGTGCCTCTACTGAGGCAAAAATATACCAAGACCTGCTTGTAAGAGAATATTGCTAGAACTGCTATGCAAAGGATGTACGTATGCTCAAGTATCTAATACTTGCATGCTAGAAATCATGTTTCAAACCCTTAGCTAGTACCCTTAGCACTGATTTGAACAAGAGTTGTTCAGAGTAGGGGATTGTCCACATGCAAGTTTGTACTGTGTTCACACAAGCATTCAATTGTCATTGCAGCTATGCTAGAGAATATTAAAATAATTTTTCAGTGACCAATGACAAATAAGGTATATGGGCATAAGCATGACTAATGGCTTTCACACCTAGAACTTAGTGTATCATTATTTTCTTATTAAAAACAAACAAACAAACAAACAAACAGCTATGACCATGGCTTTTTTAAGCTAAAAATTGATTGGTTTTAAAACACTTAGTGTTTTAACACCTTCAAAATCAACTTTTGTCTGGGTATGTAGAAACCTATAGGGGAGTGTTGCTTACAATGTGATAATGTGGTATGGTTTTAAATGTCAGTGTTCATTGCTCCTACAGAATGAGTGCTGGTTAGAAACTTTTACTAAATGTGTATTAGATGACACAGGCCATCAGTTTACCTTTTCTGAATGTAACTTTTTCCTTTGGCTTGCTGTGTTGGTGTGCAAGTTTTTCTTTATTTTTCTGTCATTGAAACTCAGTACAGGAAACAAAACAAAAAAAAAAAAACAACCAATCCTTCTCTTTTTTAAATATAAAGGTATTCTTGACTTTGCTGTTCCCAAAATAGTCTAAATTGCAGTTTATCACCAGGCAGTGAGTAAACTTTCATTGACTTCAGCAGGACCAGCTTTGTTTTGAAGTGTTTGCAGAAAAAAACGTCACATTATAAAAGACAACATGCATCTATACATATATCTATTAATAAAAGTCCTATTCAGAGTTACATTGAAAAGTGATAGTTCAGACATCTCAGTGATAGAAGGCACACTGCATGCGCTATCATTGTGATCAATACAAGGGCTCTGCAGCATTTCCTTCAGAATAGAAGCTTACTGCAAGATAAACTACAAGAATCATCTTCTGAAGTATCAGATCATTCCCAAGATGCATCCTCATTCATTGTTCACAAAGAAACTCTTCAGATGGGGCAAAAAGAGCTTGTCATGAAAGTAATCCAGTAAAAACTGATCCAACCCAAATACTCTGGGTGCTGCAAATGGTAACTTCAAAGTAGCCCCTCTCTGGTAGATAGTTATTTCCACAGAATCCTCCTGGCAGATCAGTCATCCGGGCATATTGCTGTCATTTAAAGAAATATCTTGATATTTCTGTCAGTGAATAAATAAAAGATTCAAACTAATGTTACACAGGCTTGAGTAGGCAGGGTGGAGATCACTACTCCCAGCTCTGGTCAGACTGAGAACTGATACAGCTCTGAAATAACAGCACTAGAAAGAACAAGGTCAGGCAGGAGTGTCTCAGATGGTGGGTAATAGGGCACACTTTTGATTTCGTACAAAGTTAGACACTTTTTCAAGTGTTGGTCTTGGCCCTCAGGGAAATTTTGAATAGGCTTTGTGATAACAGAGAAGGTCCATAGGACGGAGGAGGTAGATTGATGTGACTGTAATTTTCGAGTTTGACAGCAAAAGCTAATGAACTGTCACTTTTTTTCCTGGTGCAGAAAAAAGGACACTCAGTTCTAACTTTCTCTGAGCAAAGGAGTGAGTGGCTGTCTGGAAAATCTGGAGTTATGTTATGAAAAATAAATAAGCCATTTATCTATTTCTATTGACTTCTAGCTACCTTAAAGAAAGGAAATGAAGCAGAATCATGGCACACAAGAATGTTGAGACTAGTGCACGCAGTTGTGATCACAGCATCTAGGTGGAGCTGAGGCAGTCCAGCTTTTAAAACCTGACCTCTGTCAGGATCCGAGTGAAACTGGCAAATTGTTAGTGTTTGTAACACATTCATAATACTTTCTTTGAAAACGTGTGCTTTACCTTAGATGGCAGCACTACTGATGTTTTTTTTTTTCCCATGAAATGCAAACAAAATTATTTTATGTCTTCCATTTTAAAAACACCTGTTTTCAGATTTACTAAATATCAGAAGGGAAACACATCACATTCTTTGCTGATGCTCTAAGTTGTTGAATATTAGACTAGCTAAATTGATAATTAAAAAGAAAAGACACAAAAAATCCTGCAATTACTTTCAGTGAATAATTTTAGATTACGCTAGCATTTTATTTGACTGTTTCTTCAGGATAAAAACTTTCCATCCATTTCTGGCAGTCACTTCAGCACAAATGGTTTACATGTCACATCATGCAGGAACTTGGATTTCATCTTGTTGGTATAGTAGCAAGGGAGCATAAAATAATTTTCACTAACTGGGCTTACTTTGTAAAAATAAATGTATAAATTAGTTACAGTGACAAAAACAACAAGAAAAAAAGATAGCGAGTGCTTTCCTGTTTTCTGCCCACTGTTCCATTGTAATTTTCTAATAAATACCGCCTGTTAGTAAATAATGGGAAAGTAAACTCTCATCTGAGCTAATAGGATATTTGAGAGCACAGTCAAATAACTTTCTTTTGCTTAGCCTTGCTTTTGCTTTTCTTTTTGTTTTTCCCTTTTTTTCATGGTCACATCTTTCATATACTATGCTTCCCAAAATCCACATGTTTATTTGTGTGTAATACACCCTGCAGAGTCCATTCCTCTGTTGGGTATGTTCCACCAGACCTGGAGTCTGTTGCAGTACAGCTTTAACCTGAGATGCACTGGGTATCCCTAAATGGATCTGATTCAGCAATCTACTTAAAGCTCGCAGTTAACATCAAACATAGGAGTAGACCTATGGAAATGAATCAAGCACCTGCCTCTGGTGAATCAAAGTCAAAATCTGGGCTGTTGTAAAGAGTACCCTTACGGAATCTGTACAGTGACACTAGATTTTATCTCTTACATAATTTGTTAAGGTCATAAATCTTCCTCCTTCTGACAGGTGGAAGTGACGTTGTTTTGGTATGCACTGAGCCTTCATTGCTGTGAGGAAGAGCATCACTTTAGATCTGAGCCCCATTCTCCAGTCCTTTCTTCATGGTGTATTTCTCCAGTCCACCCAAATGTCCCTGAAAAGGAAAATGAGTCACAGACAGACATCCAGATGACCAAAATATGTGTTGTTGAGCTTGTCAGTGCTGCTGCTGAAAGATTGTGGCTATTTAGGAATGCAGTATCATTAAATTGGTTGGCTTATTTAAGGAAAATCTGTCTTCCCTATTAACACAGAGTTCTGCATAAAAAGTCCCTGTATCTGGCTTTGTGAAGAAATGAGTGAATTTCTCTGATATTTTAACATCTGGATAACTGAAGAAATCTTTATTGCATCCTCCCAAACACCCTATAGGCAAGTTATTTCCATCACATAAAATGAGTCATTTATCTCTGGAGCCATCTTAAGAACAAAAATCA